TTTTTGAAAAATTCTTTTTGTGGTACCTTTATTAGTCTACAAAGAGGGTCCACACTAAGTTTCAAGTGGATTGCAATTTTAATAGAGGAATGACAAGCAAAAGAGTGGAATTTTTAATTATTTAGGTCATCTGCTTTTAGGCGTTCCTTGGTTGGTTGCCCAGGCCTAACCGCGTATACAAGCAAATGTCCGCCATTAGAATTAAGATAGAAGAAAGAGAAGATACAAGAAGTAAAACGAGAAATTACTGTGTTTAAAAGGTATTTTATTGACAAATCATACGTTAATTTTGTAAATTATGCTATCATGTCTATTTCAGAGCAATTGTACATTTCATATTGATGTTGYTTTGTCGATTTCTGACCTCGGAWACCCTCCAGCGTCTGTACTGCCTGGCATCACTCATAAGCTTAATAGCACTTTGCTTATTGATGTAGTACCTGATTAATCACTATTTACTWATTGCTAATGATGATATAATGTTCTGATAATGTCTATCTAGTCTATTTYATTGAGCTTGTATCTGCTTGTATTWATGTGAAATGGGCTACAAGTGATTTTTAGTTTTAATGATATRATTTAAGCTTATTTATTTTGATGTGTGATTGACTCCACATCTGTCATCCTTTATTGCATTTCTGGTATTAATATAATTGCATTTGTATGAGTTGGAAAACTTACTGACATTTTATTTATAACTGGTTTTTCTTTGTTTTGTTTTTTTGTAGAGACATTTTTGTATTTTTTTTTTTGTATTGTGTACTGAATGGTATATAGTCAGTTTCATGCACACGCCTACAAAATATTAAACTTACACTAAATCCATATCCAATATTACACAATATTTCTTTCTTTCCTAATGAGTTCAGCCCATGGTTTCTTCTAACTGAACGCTGTGGTATTTAAGATGTCTGTGATCTTACCTGTTGATGTTCACTCCTTCCCAAGTAGATTTTGAGCAACATCTAAAAGATGATATTTGATTTCTTATTGCTTATATTATCATTTGCAGATCATGTTTGAAATTRCCAGGGAACAAGCCAACGTGTTGGATTCAACACTGCAGATATTTTTCTCAAAAAAATAAAGAAATCTAATTTTTCCTCTTTTTCCCACCAAGAMAAACAGATCTTGATAAACCTTCCTTTCCAGTCTACCTTTCTAAACTTCCCACTTTTTTCCATTCATCTCTTACTTTGAACATCCTTTCATATCAAGGTAAAGTTCAAGTATTTTTTGTATTTCATTTTATTGATTTTCTGTGCATTTCATACATTGATGCACATTGCAAGATTTGATTTTTTTCATTTATCTGGTATTTGAACTTTACCTAAGTCTTGAGTACCCTGCCACGTTGCATCTTTCCCCTATGGTKAAGTTTGTCATTTGTGTTTTTGTCGTTTATGACTCTGTTGATAATGTAAGCATAGGCAATGCATTTCTATCTTTGGCATTATTATTTTCTGTTTCTTTTTAACCTCATTTACCTCTTAATTTTTTAATTAATTTTGCATCTATTTGCCTATGCTTGACATTATGCTATCCTTATGTTTGAAGCCATGTCTTATGCATGAMTCAAATCACAATTTTCCATTTTGCACTAGCCTGCATTACAACCAGTTTTAACTGCATTAGAGTTGTTTTCATAAATTCGTGAAATACACTCAGCACACTTTTTCCCTCTCTTTTTTCAATGATTTTCATTTTGTTATTTCACTAATGGTTATTATGCTTGGTGTATTCTCGCAGTTTTATGAAAGTTACTCTAATGTTAGTGTTCATGGGGTAATGCTGTGTATCCTGCCTAGTGTTTTTCCTGCACCCATCAAGTGAAAACCAGACTGTTCTCTCACAAGTGTTTATCACCAGACTGTGAAGTAGAGAAGAACTAAAAAATTGGTGAATGTCCATTTAAATGTGAGGTGTTTCATAATAGACTACTGAAACATCTTTACGTGGCTGGTCGCACAATGCCTCAAATTGCTAAACCTGAGTTGAAAACGTTCACTCCATATTAATTGATGCTTATAATATTCAATAACGTAATGGGCTTTCAAGAACATTTTTGTGCCTATATAAGTTTTAGTATTTCACAGTCTGGCTAAAACATTACATTTTAATGGATGTTGAGGCCCAAGTGCATCTGAGAGCCTTTCCATTGTAATATGCAACATTCTCAGATACCCATGGGCCTTTGAGTATATTGACATTTGGCTTATATAAACTTAACTAGAAGTCTCTGAATGACAAGTCTTGACTTGATGTTTCAACCTGCTTGCGACATTATTATTTCATACTCTTGAAAGTATAATGAAACGTCAAGTAAACTGATAAATTCAGAYTTGTCAATCAAAACTTCATAGTCAAGTACTAGTAACTTAAGTAGTTTGTCAGAGTGGTCAGTAACAAAACAGTTAAGGGGTGTCTCCTTTTTTATTTGCTTAAAGCAGGACAGGGAACCCAATGCTTTGAATGAATACAAGGGAAATTACAAGGAGACTTCCCCTTGATTGTCTTGGGCCTGTTTACTCACGCAAACAAAGTCTGGTTCACAGAAAGAAATATTTTTTTCTTTGTTTTTTYTTATGTCTTTCTGATTGTCTTCCTGTGAACCAGACTTAACATTAAACATTGTGTATCTTATTCCCTTGGGAATTAAAATATGACAAAATAAAATACTATGGAGGATTACGTCTGTGTGTCAGGATATTTGCTATCTTGTGCAAAATATATATTCTACATACTATTTA